GCGGCCACTGCACTCCAGTCTGGGCGACAGAGTGAGACTCCAACTCAAACAAAAAAAAAGCATAGACAAGAAGAGATGCTTATAAGAAAGAAAAAAAAATTGGTGCATTATGTACAACGATGCTCCCAAGACATTATCAGTTGACTTTTCAATAGAAATGTTGCAGGCTAGAAGGAATTTGGGCTATACAGCAAACATGCTGAATGAGCAAAAGCTACAAACTGAGAATACCATGCTGAGCAAAATTGTTCAAAAATTTTAAAAAAAACAAAACCTTTTCAAATTTAAAAAAAAACTGAAAAATTTACTCACTAGGCGTCCCCCACAAAAAATGTTAATGGAAGTTCTTCTCATTGAAAACTAAATATTCTAGAAAACATCACAAAATTAATTATAACTTTTTACAAGTGGCAGATACAGGGAACACAAAAATATCCTATAATTATCTTCCTAGAGAGTCAGCCCCTTTGTGTACAAGTTTTGAACACTATGTAAGTGTTCTAAAAATCATCAGCATGCGTGTTTCAGCTGGTGATGTTGTTAGAGACTGCACTGCAGAAGAAACATCCTGAGTTGTGGTAAACACATGACTGGGAAGATATGCATACTAATCAATATAATATAATTCACATTCAATATAATACTTGCCAAATTCCCCAAGTTATTTCTTCCAGAGATACAAAGCAAGCAACCCTAAAACTCACATCAAAACTCTAAGGTCCATGAAAATGCTACAGTAATTGAAATAGTTTAGTGCTGTTATAAGGCAGACAGTTACACTGGAAAATAGACAGGAGAGAAATAAATCATTACATTTAGATTAAAATGGAAGAGTTATTTTCACACCAATATTTACTGTAGCATTATTCACAAAAGCTAGCAACTGAAAACAAGTGAAACATATTTCATCAAAGAATACAATTTCAAATGCAGACAATAAAATATTATTCACCCTTTAAATAGCAGGATATCTTATAGTATCTACATGTAGAATAAATCTGGAAGGGATTATTCTACTTGAAATAAGCCAGTAACAAGAGGCACATACCGCTGTATTGAAAATGTTTCACACACAAACATGATATACACTCATTGATAAGTGTATGATGAAAATAGGAGAATTTCCATGACTCCTCACCTAGATAAGATAAAATGACCCCTAACCAAAAATTATATCAATTATAACAAAAATAAAATGTATACAACCATGTAAGTACTTACATAATCTTTTTGGAAAAAAACACATTTCTGATTTATATTTCAATATTGGGCCCATTCTCTAAATTAGAACAGAGTTCTATAGAGTTGAACGTGGTTATCACTTTAACCATAATTAACTGATTCATGAGCATAATTATCTGATGTGAGAAGAAAATGCTAAATCAGCACAAAAAAAGAAATTGAAGATAGATAAAAAATAAAAATAAGAAAAACTGTGCCCCATATAATCATGTATAAACATAGGTGTACTGCTTAAACAGAATCCTTTTACATAATGACAATTTTCACTTTTGATTTGGCATCCTTGAAAAACAGACATTATGAATCATTAGCATGTAATTAGGTTAGTGATACCTAAGAAAACAATGAATTTTAATTACTCATAAAGAGATTTGTTGAGAAAAAAAAATTTTTTTTTTGAGTTGGAGTCTCACGCTGTCACCCAGACTGGAGTGCAGTGGCCGATCCCAGCCACCGCAGCCTCGACCTGCTAGGCTCCGGCGATCCTTCTGCCTCAGCCTTCCGAGTAGCTGAAATTACAGGCATGCGCTACCACGCCCAGCTGATTTTTTTATTTATTGTAGAGATGAGGTCTTGCTGCCCAGGTGGGTCTCGAACCCATGGGCTCAGGCAGTCCACTCACCTCAGCCTCCCAAAGGCGCGGGATTACAGGCTGAGCCACTGAGCCCAGCGTGTTGAGAAAAACTTAAGGACTAAGAATTTAAATGATTTTACTGAATCTTTGCTATAAATATTCTACTGTTACTTTTATGCAAAAAGGAAAGAAATAATTCAGTATTTAGGAAGGAAGAAAAACCTTATATTTATAAATACTGCAGGCATCCTGAGTATTATGAAATATAGAACACAGTGATGTATAAAATGAACCATCGGGAATACATATTACTATTAACATACGGGTTGAGAAATATGAAGGAAAATGGTAATGATAACTTTTCACATGCAATAAACAGAAAAAATTAATAAACAAAAGTGAAAGACTTACTAATTATCTAGCACACCTCTAACATGATATATAAATTCAAGCATATATTTCAGAATTTTTAAACCTAATATGATATGTAAACTAATCTACTGCAAATTAAAAACTAAAAGTAGATAACTTAGTTCTAGTATTCTATATAATAGAAGAGCAAAAATTATAAAATAATAGTTTAAAGGACAAAAGGGAACAACAAATTTTTTACTATATACTTGGCAATGTTTTGGGTTTAACTACAGCATTACATTTTTTTGAATGCTAAGATGTGAATAGATGAATCATTCTATTTTATACTGGACACATTTAGGCAAATAAAAGCTAAACTTCTAAGCTGAGTTCAAACTAAGAAAATACAAATATAATGTAATAATTCATTGTTTTAAAAACTTCAATATCCTGTTTCATGCCCTGATAAAATGACTCAGTCCAAACTCCTTTAGCATTATGTTTGAAAACCCCCATAAAACTAGATATTATAATGCAGAAAACACATCACATATCTGTATCTAGTGTTCATGAGATTTCTGAACCAAACCACAATGCCACTACTTCTTCTATACACTTCTGACATGAGACATATATAGAACTTTTAAAATGACTTGAAAGAGGAATCCCTAGAAATATGCCCAGATTTTCCCCAAACCCACAAAGCAATGGATGAACAGTCAGATCATACAGTCCCTCACAAAACATGAGAACTTTGGTTCTCACTCTGAACGTGCTGGGAGTGCACTGAAAAGGAACAAGATGGAGGATGGAAGAGTCTAGTAGGATTGAAGAGTCTAAGAATAAACAGATGTCTCTCTGTGTCAGCAATAGAAACCTAGGCTTCTCAAAATTATTCTCATTAGTGAAGAGATTCACTGTCCATGTTGTAAAGTCTGGCATCATCATGGACATTTGAATATCTCATCTGTGTCACTGGCACAAGTATTCCCATCTATGTGATTGTATGGCTGTTGTCTTCTCCCCTTTATATTCCAGGGCTTGCCTCTACAATAAATAAAAAGATGAGGCAGGCATGGTAGCACATGCCTG